CCAAACCACTGGAGTTTCCGCCTCTTCACAATGGCCAGCAGAGGATCATGGGAGCCTACCAGGCTGGTGCATCCGTCCCGGGACATAGTCATTGGTTTTTCGCTCTAAATAGGTAATGCCCATGAGCTTTCTGAGACATTTGAACTCAAAGGCCTGAATCCTTCTCTCGTCTTCAGCTAGAAGTGTCCATGCCTCACAACCGTATAGCAGGACGGAAACCACCAATGACTTGAACAGGAGGTACTTTGTGCAAAGGTTGATGATTTTGCTTCTAAAGAGCTTTTGGAGCCTTGAAATTACAGCAGTTGCTGTAGCAATTCTGATACGGATTTCTGCTGTGCAAGAGCCATCTTTGTATAATGTTGCTCCACCAAATACACAAAATAATGTTATTTTTAGCAACACCATATGACCCGTTTAAATCCTTCTACCTCTTCAAGCTTTTGCCCTCCCGTGGTAATGTTAGTGGTGGTGTCTTTAACGCTTTTTTCTTTTTTTCTGTGCTGATTTCCATGGCATATGCACCTGCCCTCTCTACTAGCTTGTTGGTCAGTTCTTGTAGTTCTTGGTTGCTGCCAGCCAAGAGATCTATATCATCAGCAAATCTAAGGTTGCATATTGCTCTGCCATTGATGGAGATGGATGTATGATGGTCTTGGAGAGTCTCTAGCATTATCTGCTCCAGGAACAGGTTGAGGAGTATAGGTGACAGTATGCATCCTTATCTCACTCCTACGGTTGTTGGGAAAAAATCCCCAATTTGGTTATTTAGGAGGACAGCGCTACTTGTTCTTTCATACAAGGTCTTCAATATCTCTATTCTCTACTATTCCCTCATCGATCTTAAAATTCCTGAGTACTTGCCATAGGCCATCATGCCACACCCTATCAAAGGCTTTTTTTAAAGTCAATGAAGTTGTGGAAGAGCTCATGCTGATGCTGCAGATACTTTTCGGTGATACAGTTAAAGATCTGCTCAGTGGTACTTGTGGTTTATATGTGGATTAATGTGAGGTTTTTATCAGCTAATTTCTCCAAATCTGATGAAGAAACAAACTCATCTGCATCTTGGATGAGCTGAGGGTCTAGGTCTTCAACCCTGCTCACTGGGAACCACTGCCCTGCAAATTTTATTTCCAACCTGCTTCGGCACACCTGGCCTGTGATTTTTCAAGTGATGCTGAAGACATTGTTTAACTGGTCCAGGTAGGTTTGATCAGGACTGTACAGAAACTCAACAGTGTGTTTTTGACATGTTATACCTAACAGTACACAAGATAACAGTAGGTAAAGATACAAAGAGACTATTTGCTATAAGAATAATAACAGCTACAAGCAGTGGCATGTCTTTGTGTAAGCTGTTTCAAAGAGTTATAACGCTTTCTCCATTTCCCAACTCTGTTCCTGGAGGAACACCAACAACTGTACACATTCCCAAAATCTTCCTAATAAAATACGCCTGATTCAACTCTTCAGCTCATTAGCAGAGACTACAAGACCTGAAAAGGATGTGTCAGATAAGGAAGGCTCAACATTTGTAGTATAGCTGTAGTTTTTTTTTTTATGCATATTCGATGCTTTTGATTGCCACAATAATGTAATGTCTTTGAATCAATTTCATTTGGGAACTATACAGTACAAGCGAACAATTTGATCTAAAAACAAATGTAATGATGGCTCGTGTTTATATTGAATAAAGTCTGTAATTGATGTGATACTTAAAAAATAAAACCAGCAAAACATGATAAATGACACAATACACTATTGGACACCATCAGTGATTTAAAAAAGCATGAGTAATATCAACGTTTCAAACGTAAACGTGGTAGATAAAACAATAATATTTTTACTTTAATCCCGATTATTAAAATACATCTGTAAAAACATTAATAAACATTTATAGTTTCATCCGAATAAGAAACAGCTGTCTTTTTAGCCACATCCATAAGCTGTATTCAGTAAACCATTCTTTTTTTAGAATAAAACGTCACATTTGCTATAAAATACAATTTTGTAATAGTTGTAATAAACAAGTCCGAAAGTATACGGCTAAGTTATTTGCTTTGCTAACCGCTGACGTCGCGTGAAGTTCAGTGGACTTCTCTGACACGGATCAAAAACTGAGAAAACACTGACCAAACGACGGGCTTATGTGAGAATAACAAATGAACATGAAATGATAATATACTCTACTCATAGAAATGACAAGTTATTTACCTTCATTTCCTGCGCTTGTTTTGCTCGGGTTCGGTGTCAGTCAGACCAGTGTAATCGATACGTGAGCTCCTGAGCGTGCGAGACTACCACGTGATCGTGGACGGATGAACGTTATGAGTCTAATATTTAAAATATATAAATTGAAAACAATCACTTTTTAAAATGTAAATATGAAATATAGTTAAGTAAAATAATAAAATGGGAAAATAATTAATGGGAAAATAAATGGACATAGATAGCCTATATTTAAAACGTCAGTGATCTTTGAGCAGGAAATGATTGATACAGTAAACACACATAGTATAATAAAGCATAAGGACTGTTGCGTTTTAGTACAGATTTGTGCAATGACTCAGTCATAACACATAGGCTAAATGACTCACTCATAAATCATAACACATTCTTTTGTCGCTACCTTCTGGCGTGAATATGAAAGATCGCTGCATAAAGTGTACATATACTACCTAAAAGGGTCAAAAGGTACCGCCCCAGTGAATGCTTTTGTACCTTTATTTCTGAGAGTGTGTTATCAGATTTCGGTGTTGACCACATTATATTTAAAAAAAAACAAATGCCCTGTTTCATCGCATTCAGAGCTGGGTAGTAAAAGATTAGGCTACATGTAATCTGGATTAAGTAATCAGATTCCAAAAATTAAGCACTTGTAGATTAAGTTACATTTTAAAATACTCATAATCAGCCTACAGTTACTTTTTTATGGATTACATGATTACTTCCCTTACGAAAAAGAAGTTTATTCAAGTGTGTTATTAGTATACTTCTTTTAAACTAAAAATAGGAAAGTATACTTTTAGTCTACTTTTATGTACTTCTCAGAAATATACTTAAAATGACATTTAAGTATACTTGACTTATACTTAGAAAAAGTCTAAATATATTTTAGCTATAACTGTGCTCCTAGAATCCGTGTTTTCATTGTTATACTGTAGAGGGCGCTAGTACACATCTTCTGTACAGAATTTCCAAAAAACACAAGTGAAGAAGAAACCGAAACAACAGATGCTTCCACATGTAATCTAACACGATCATCAGACATAAAACAATATCAAAACTGTGTAACATTATGGAATAAAATGTCGACCAATGAAGAGGTAATAATAACTGTCAAGCTTTGGGGTGTTGATCGACTTTATCAACGTTTTGATTATCATTCTGAATCCAATTCATAGTCTTTTTTCAGCTTTTTGTTCAAAATGTTGTTTATTTCTTAATTTTTTATTAATGAAACTTACCCACATTCAAGTGTTTAAAAAAAGAATGCATGAAGCTAGAATAAAATGTTTTTGTTTACAAGCAGATACCCTGTTCTTTTGATGTTTTGTATGTTCAGATATTCATGTAACAAAATATATACAAATTAATACCTAAATAGGGACATAGTAGTATACTTAAAGTATGATGTAAAGTTCACTTAAAGAAAACTTACGAGTATACTTGCAGTATAAAACTACTAAACTAGTAGTTTACTGAGACTATACTTCAAAGTGTACTAAAAATGCTACAAGTATTTAATTAGTAAACTATCAGTATACCTATAAGTTCACTTTTAGTATAGTTGCAGTACAAACTAAACATTTTGATGTAAACTAGTTGTGTACTCAAAGTTTACTACTGTTATACTTAAAGTATACTTAAAAGTATACTTTTATATACTAGAAAGTGGGCCAATTTAGTCCCAAGGAGTATTGAAATAGTACACTTACAAGTATACTACTACTACACTGATATTTGTATACTTACTACATAAAGTATACTTAAAAATATACTTGAACTTTACTTAAGTATACTTACTAAAATAAACTTGAAGTATACTACTTTTTGGTAAGGGTTATTATTCGCACAATAGCAATAAATTATTCATAATTTAGTGATTCTCCCTAAATCCTCTTTTTCTTATTTTAATTTGTCCTTTTTAAAATAGCCTATACTGCTTATATACTCTCAGAAAGTCGTCCAGTTTTGTGGACGTTCACACAGAGATCAGTCAGGTGGCTACACAGCATTTAACCACTGGATTTACAAAAATCATTTCATGTTTAAGAAGTGTTTCGATATTGCATCAACTGGACACATTCATTTTTATTTGAACCATGTATTTCTATGTCTATGGCTTTTGTCTTTCAAACACATTAAAATGCACAAATTGATCCTCTTTCTCCTAATATATTTACTTGAAGTACCCCTGAGATTTTAAAATAAATATATTTTAATAATGAAGCACCACATTTTGCATGTTCATGGTTCTCTGGCGTTGGTTATGGTCACATGACATGCAGGTGAACCAATAAAATATTTCATTTTTTAGTAGGTGTTTCATTTTGATTGATTTCATAATGACTCAATTTAACATTCAATTTAACTCACCCTGCAGTTCCCTCACAACCGTAATATAATGTTTAACGCACTTCAGTTTGTTAATAATATTGAATGGAAATATTTTCTTCATCGTTGTATTTTATATCAATATGGTACAAGATTATCGATATGCGATAAAAGTAATCTAACAGTAGTCTGATTATGTTAGCCTACCTGAAATGTGTAATGTAGGTAATGGATAGTGTTGGGGGAAAGTTACTTTTAAAAGTAATGCATTACAATATTGCGTTACACCATAAAAAAGTAACTAATTACGTTACTTAGTTACTTTTTATGGAAAGTAATGCGTTACGTTACTTTTGCGTTACTTTT